AAAAAAGAAATTAATTAAAAGAAAAGAACTACAATAAATGAAATAAATTTCTAGAAAGAAATACTGTGACTATTAAATTTATGCAAATTTCTTTGATTTTATTATTGTTTCCAAATTTCATTTATATCGCCGGCTGTTGGTTCACTATTCTATACCAGCCTTTGGATGGTCATTAATAATTCTAAACATAAAAGTGGTTATAAAAGCGGCAGGTGGAGCGATGGTTGTAAGCTGTCATTTTTTTCTTCTTTCTTCTTCGTTTTGTCCTTTCGTTTACAGCTGTGCTAGTTTCTTGCAACGTGTAAATCTATAAATGTACATATGAATATTTACATATGTACATGCTTAATGCATATGTATTTGAAAGCCTAAGGCCATAACGTAAAAGGTTAATGTCTTTGAGCAGTTTTACTAACTTTGCATTTACATTTTTATAAATATTTAACTCTTCTTTAGTTTTATTTTTTCAGTTCGCTTTTAATGTTTCAATAATTTATTCAAGGGATTTTATGTGAATAAACATAAGTTTTTGTAATACTAATGTTCATATGTGTGTGTGTGTGTGTATCCTAATTTATATTTTTAAAAACTTGTAAAATATTTTCTAAAAAATAGTGAAACTACTGGCCAAAGTGCGTAGATAGTTTATGAGGGACTCTAAAAAGCAATTGACGGTTTATATGACAATAACGGTATTACAAATTTATTGAAAAACTTTATCTAATCAGTTTTAAAGTTACATGAACAAAGGCAGTTTATATGCCGTAAGTTTTTAGGAGCGCTGTCTTAATGGCGTTTCTTAAAGCACTGTTTTTGGCAACTAATGGTAATTTGATTGAATTTTAAAAATATAAATCAGCAATGCAGAGAGGATGAAGCGCGACAACTGTCAAAAAATAGACGAGGAACATTTCTTACTAGGAGGCGACACATTTAAGTTTCAAGTACAGCTTGCGCGAAGAATCTAGATATAATACATTCGAGTGGGATGAAAATATTGAGAATAATAACAGGCGCACCGCGATATATGGGCAATGAAAATATCCATGGCGAATTAAATATACGAAAAAATATATAGCAAAACTGCACAATCAATTGAACCCTTTGGCTACAATCTTGGCCTCCGCAACAAATGAAACGCGCCTGAAGAGAAGCGACTTACTATCCTTGTAAAGAGCAACACTGAGCCAGCAGCCCCTTTCTAGCCAATAAGTTATTATATTTTAATTTAGTTAAGATTTAAAAACGTATCTTCTCTGTGAGACTTCTTATATTGTATTAAAACAGATTCAATAAATTAATACGAATGATAAAAAAAAAGTTTCGAAATCGCGCAATGAATATCCCTGTGCAATTCACAGCCAAGCATTAAATTCTAAAGAGCATCAAGTTTTTATCCCAAAATAAAGTTTTTAATATCTTGTTTGTTGGCACACTGAAGCACTATAAATCAAGACAATATGATGACTACGTGACAATAATGCCACAAGTGACAAACCTTCGAGGAAAAATTTAAATAAATTCGCACACCTCAACCAAAACCACAGATTTTCAATTAATTACAGATTATTGTCTATAATTATTCGCACTAAAAAAATGCAAATAAATTGCAAATCACCCAATATTTGAGGTTTGAACGAAAGCTACGAAAATCTCTTATTAACGCCAGAAAAGATACTAGCTGTCTTGCCGGCCGGCCGGCAGGCATTAGTCATTGAAATAGCGCGTCGTACGCGTGGCTAACTCCATTTGTATGCACATACATATATATTTGTGTGTTCTTTCACAAGACAAATATGTTTACATACATATGTACATGTCTATGAATATTAATCAATTTTTTCTTTTATGAACTTTCGAAATGTCTCTGAGCACATCTTAGCCGCTTTCATAGTTGGGAATAATGAGTCATCAGAGCTCATCAACGCGCAGTAGTAGGGACAGCATAAGACAATCAATCTTTTGTTAGTTAATTTGCTGCATTTGTATATTTATGTTTTACATTTTATTATGCAAATCTGATATGTGTATTAGAAGCGATTTTCAATTTATTGTCGTATTTTGGTATGACATTGTTTTTAGAGAAAAAAAAAGTTTTTGCACAACTGTCACCGATCAGCAATATTCAACGGTTAAATATTCATAAATATGTATACGAAATATTTGGGCTCTTTTTTGAAACCAAAAGCACTTCATATTCGAAGGAATAAAAAATACGCCATCAGTCCATCAAACAGCATTTAATCGTTCGTCGAAAACTAACTTGCAAACTCATCCGTATTTATGACGTGGTAGATATTTGATTTTTATTTCAGTCATCAGAAAGTTGTAGAAATTGCGTTTTAATATTTTCACTTATAATCAATGATTTTTAACACATTTTTGTTTATCATCATTCTCACTCTCATCAGGAATGCTAATTTTCGGTAATAAAATTTTTATGTCAGCCGCTCGCTGCATAAATGCTTCGCCACAGTGTCTGTTTGTTCGCCGACATTGTTGTTTGTGCTATTTTATGGAATATTTTTTTCTGCCGTTTTCATAAATTTCCTTAAATGCCATTGTATAATTGGCTACATAATTATAAGGCTGAGGGCAGGTTTTTATTCTAAGTAATAACTTTTATAATAAAAATATGCATGTGAGTTGTAACAGTATTTTAAAAATGATGAAATTATTTGTTTTAGTTTTAACATTATATTTTTTTGTTTTAAAAATAATTAATATGCTGTGAATATATATAAAAGATTTATTTCTAATTTAACTAAGAGAAAATCTAAATATATTTTAAAATAGGACAATATGATTCAGAAAAGTTTTGTGTAATCAGAATGATTTTCTTGGAAATAGATTACACTGGTCACCAAAAAGAAAGAGCTTATAGAGCTTATATTTTGTCATCTCTTCATGATCCTCTTTCAAAATAACGCAACTGTTTTTCGAAAATTAAGACTTTATTGTGAAAATATGATTTTAATCGCCTGGAAACGATTGCTTGATCAACTCCTACAGCTCCCCGCAAAAACACTTTATCTGGTAAAAATTTCGATATTTTCAAATGAATGAAACAAATTATTGTTCACGCTAAAACAAATGACATCTACTGAAAACGGCGAGAAATGACAGTACCTTTGAAATGAATATATTGTAGCCACAGATGAACACGACGCGTAATAATACTAGTAGAGCCGCATGCATACACCCCTTAATATACTCACGTAAAGCATATCGGACGATGTCCCTATCTACCCCATATTATACTACTTCCAATTAGATCGGAGGATGAAACCATGCGCAGAAATTCACACAATTGAGGAAAGTTTTTGACTGCCAGAAACGATTCTTTTGCATATGGTTCAAGCAGCTCACGACTTCCGGTCTTAGACGAAGTATCCCCTGGGTAGCCAACAATCATCCGTTAGAAGGCGAACGAAAGTGAGAAGGAGAATCCCAAGCGGTTTTGCGTAGGGTTCGGGACCCACCTCATGAAAAAATTTCAATGAAAACCCCAAATATGTATCAGCTGAGAGGCCACTTTTGACGACGACCACCGCAATTAGTATCAAGGCGAATTTGTTAACATATTGCTGATTTGCGCCCACGACTTGGCGGAAAAGAAGAATGATTTGACAAAAAATGCCTTTACGTACGCACTTACGAGCGCTGCCCCCGCCCCCATTTGTAAATTGTGCTTGGCGACTTCAGTGCAAGTTTGGGTAAGAAGGAATCTTTGTCGCAACTGTAGAAAAATTCAGCCCCAACGGCGAGAAATGATCAAATGAGTTGAGACTGATCGACTTAGTAGGGCCTGAAATATGGTTGTCTGTAGCACTACATAACACCATAAGAAAATTCGCCAAGCTTCTTGGTTGTCCCCAGATCGGAAAACTCTCAACCAAGTCGATCATGTTGTGATAGACAGGTATCCAGTCTGCTGAATGGCAGTGAAAACGAAACACCCAGAGAAGGTGAGCCCGAAACTCCAATTGATGATGATCGAAAAGTTGTTCCATTACCCAACTATCAAGAAGTCGGAATGGCAATTGCCACTTAAAAACAACCAAGCGGCGGGGACCGACGGATTACCGGCCGAGCTATTCAGTAAGTCAGTAAGACCAGATATTCATCATATGTCAGAGAAGACCCGGAAGAATCGATACACACAGTAAGGAGCTGCCTCTATGCCGCTATGTCTGAATTTTGGTATCCCCGCAAAACTTATACGGCTGCGTGAGAAGGATGTGTCTGAGCTGTTTGGTACAAAACGAGGTTTCTCTTTATCGTGTGATTTTTTTAATTTGATATTGGAGAAAATAGTAAAAGCAGCAGAGCTAAATAGACAAGAAGCGATATTTTACAATAACGTACAACTACTAACGTAAGCCTTAACACCAGCGCCGTAAGCTTTGCCTTTTCGAAGTTTGCCAAGGAAGCGAACGAGAACAATACGAATGTAATCAAAGAAACCTCAAATTAGCAGCTTGGCTCGTAAATAATTTAAACTATTGTATCTATGGACCAGCATTATCATTGATTATAAGCTCAGCCTTGAATTTGCAAAGTTTTCTCTAGGCGAATCAAAACCTAAGTCTACAGTCCCTCATAATTTCCGTCCTACTATATAGCGCAGAGGCATAAATGATGTCGCCATCCGGTGTGTCGGTCTTGGAAGTCTTCAAGAGAAAAGTTGATTGATTTACTAAACTTTTTTAAATGCTTTTTCTAAGTTCTAAAAGCTCCTCCGCTTCGTTGAAAGCTAGACTTACAAGACAAAGTTTCTTGGAATAAAGTGTGATTGAAAGATGAAGAGAATTTAAAAGGAAAAAAATTTAATACCAGTAAAGCAAAATTGATAAGTAAAGGTAAATTGATAATAACTTGTTAATCTCAAAGAAATACTCGTGCTAAGAAAAATCACTAAATTTGCGCTGATGTCAAAAACCCATTTTCAAATCAATAAGTACACCAAAATTACGGTTTTATAAATAAATTCTACTTACATCCCCATTTTCTGACTTCACGCAAATATTCATTCCAGAATGCGCAACGTCCTTCCAGCGGACCACGTTGTAGTTTCTCGTCTTTATCGTCTGTTGAAAATACATAATAAACGGGATCTTTCTTTGTAAAATTTGGCCATTCTTCACCGTCTGTGGCAGGATTGCTATAAGACAAGGTTACAATTATATTACAAATATGTTTTTTTAGGTTAATAGAATATAGAAAGGCAATAATAAGAAAACATACACGAAAGGATTAACAAAGGCTCGGTCATTTGGTGACTTTCAATTTGTTTTTAATAAATCTAAAAATGCAAAATTCTTTGCATTTACTTCATTAGTCTTCCTTTCAAATCTTAGAATGAGCAGTTAAAATGGAGACGAGAAAACGCAGAAACTCGACATGCGATTCTCTTTGGGTCTCGGCTTCATTTTTACCCAATACAAATATTCAGTGTATGCCAAATAGCAGTATTTAAAAAATATTTCTCGGTGGTTCCCAGCATTATTCCGTAGAGGACGAACCCCGAGAAAGTCGACCAAAATCTTCTACTAATGACAACATCAGCTCTAGTACAAAATTGACGAAGACCCACGATTGACACAAGAAATGATTGCTAATGAATTTAGCTTCAAAGTCTAACTAATTATCTGGGATACACGAAGAAATCTGCTCGATAGATACCACGACCAAACAGCAGTCCATGGTATGGAGTCCAACAGGAGCAAGCCCACCAGTAAAATCTAAGCAACAAAAATCAGCAGCAATAGTAATAATGTCACTTTACTTCACCCGATTTAAGGGGCACATCTAAAATAGGTGATTTTTGGGAACTTTTATTGTAAAAAATACTTAATCAATTATTTCAAAATTTTAAAAATATATTTATACGTGTTTCGAAAATATACAGTGAATTTTTTTTTTTTGTAATTTCATACTAGGTGTGCCCGTTAAAATCGTAGCTGCATTCCATTGGAAAAGTGCCACACGGTAACTGTAAAATATTACACCGAAGAGTGCTACCATAAGTTTTCAAAAATTTGTAGGAAAAGATTTTGAAGACTGTTCTGAGAAGTGGATCTATGAGCTTAATAAATGCATTGAAATCAATGGCAATGGAAAAGGACAAGGACTACGAAAAAATACAAAAAGATTTTTTTGTGGCCAAATCACCGCATCTTTGTTAAACCCCTCTTATATCTTTTATATTGATACATATGTAAACTATGTAGCAATAAAAAGCTGTTGGAAAACAAACTCCACATCAGAGAAAGAATAAAATCTAAAAACTTCATTTACTTAAATTAAACGTAAAATCTATGAGAAAAGAACTTTAATTTTTCACATGAGTTGGCATCAGGATGGGAATCATTAGTTTTAAGAATTCAGTTTCCTTTTCTAGTAATTATTAAAACATCGTTCAATAAGTAATAATTAAAGTTATTTGATACTCTATTTTAGATTTAAATTTTAGATTTTTATTTTTATATTTTTGCTCAACAGTAATGATGATATCTGAGCTTTAGTTGTTAACAACTGTTATTGCAGCAGAGTTGAGCTTTCTAACAGAATTCATACATTTATTAGCTTTTACTATAACTGTAGTAAATGAGTCATCAACGCCGAGCTTCGGTTAGTTGGATTAAAAGCTTTGAATTCGAAAAAGCTTTGCTGCTTACTTTACTTTTCGAAGATTGTTGACTATAACGAAGACACAGTTTCGTTATGTTATATTATTCATCAACCAAAAGCATCAGTGCTAAGCTTTTGCTGTTTAAAAGCAATCCTATTAGTATGAGTTAAAAGCTTTGAACTTAATTTCGTTATAGCAACTTAATTCATGTATTTCACTTTGTAGTAAGAATATTGACTTTTTTTGTTGTATTTATTGCCAGATAATAACATAACTGAATGCTGAACATATATAAATTATTAAATAAATCGAATTAATATAGAAATGAAAAGTTGCTCAAATTTTTGAAAATAAGAACAAAACTTTCATGTTCATTACCAACAGTACAAAGAATTAAAGAAAGCTGCAGTCAAAATTTCGTCTCATTTTTGAAAATTAAGCTTGGTAATGCTGCTTAGCAAGCTCAGGTACTCTGATAAGATAATTCTTAAAAGAAGGTAAAAGGTATTCCTTCTGTCAACTGAGCACACCGCACAGTGATATTTTGAGGACCGAAAGGCGTCTCAACAATGACTTGGTAATTATAACCACCCAGAGTGCGACAATTTCGTTTATTAACGTATGTATTCAACCACGAAGTGCCACCACTATGCACTTATATTACCGGAAAATTCTGCGAAATAATCACGCATCATAATGAAGTTCTTAGGTATTGCCAAGGTGACGAGAAACGATAGCTTACTAGCTGGCCTATAAAAGCATGCGGGAACCCCACAATCTGCGTCAATTATAGTGGTCCTATCAAGCATATCTATCAGAAAAGAATAGAGAAAAACTTCTGAGTTTAGTATCCCTATAAAACCTCAGTCACAAACGAGATTCATACAAGTTGACTTTCTTGCGGTTGCCTTTCATTTAACCTAGTACTGTAGGGGGGATTAACCGCTGCCTTATGTCTATCATATTTATGTAATTGTCCTTAGAAACCGCGCCGCATTTTCTGTTGGTGGCCAGCGCTCGAAGATACCACATTCAGGAGCAGACTGGATGGAGTTCAGCCGTCGGAAGCTATTCTAATTGCTGGACCTCTGCCTTCATTAAAAGCTCTGGAAACTCTTTTCAATTTTTTACTGCTACAGGGCAACCCCAGATACCATACTCCGCACTGTTCCCAACGTAGTTAGGCTACACCTACTGTTTGATAACTACGAAAATCCCGTATAGTAATGAATGAGAAAATGCAAATGTTCCAGATCAGAACTACATAGCCATCTTCATTGATGACTCTAAGCCCTATGAAATGTCGAATTCAATCACCGACATTCTCATCCAATATTAATTTGAGGCTGTCAAACAGAACTTATTGAAATAACGCAAGCCGTATAATGTGTGCTAGGATCTCTGAAAGTCAAAGTTGCTATCGAATGGCCAAGCTGCCATCAGATCCCTTCAATCTAATTTCACCACATCGAAAGTGGCGCTGAAATGCTGAAGCACTTAAAACAAGCTCTCAACCAATTGTATGGCGGATGAGTTAGCGCTAGAAGGTACCACTCGAACTAGAATAAGTGTTACCCACGCTGTTGGCGTACCCTGGTCTATGGCAAAACTCGGACTAAAGCTGGCTTTCACCAAAACAGCCAACACCAGATGGCTTAGCGAAGGAATTCACAGCGTGAGTAGACTGTTTTAGCCTGTGTTGGTCGTTAAAAGATCAAGGGATCTAGTCCGTTTAGGATCACAAGGTACGTGAATGGGATATTTTACGAGAGGAAAAGACAGTGACAGATGTACAATGTCCGGCCCTGAGCATCACAGGACCGAAATACCTAGGACATCACTTCTTTGACTATCTAGATGTAGCAATGGCTGGTATAAGCAGTATAGCATCGTGCATAAGTACACGCTGGTCGCTCTGATCAGCTACCACATCTACTTAACTCAACTCAACTCAATACCTCAGTTTTTGAGATAAAATTCAACTAAAGGAGATGTATTTTTATACATTTTGAAGCGAGTTCGAGCCACTATACAAGTAACCTTGTATAGATTTGAGTTTTTGGACCAAAAATCAATCACAAAAGCATCTAGGTGCATGAAATTTGGTATTCTACGCATGAATGTTCAAATAAACTTATTGTGTTTGTACGGCTCTGGAATCGTTTGAACCGAAGAACAAAAAACTTTGCCACCCTCGTCTCTCAAAGATATAATTATTGACTTGGTCCTTCCATGCTGTTTTGGGGCACGCTTGTAAATAGACATTGACAAGGAGACTCTTGGAAATCGGAAGATTAGATCATATAGCACTAAGAGAATATATTCAATGCTGAATTGAAATACCATAAATTTAGGATGGAGCTCAAAGGTAAAAGGACTTCGGGGTGTCCGGTATGATTATAATTCTCGTCCTTTGCTTTCCTTCCTTACTAGATGGGATTCCAACTTACTGTTCCAACCAACTGTTGAACGCACGCTTAAGCATACGTCTCTTCATTTTTTTTTTGGCATAGCGTACTAACATTCGGAAAATTAGGCTTCCTCGGCAGAAAAAAAACATCGGCAACATCGGAGGTCTACCGGAAAGCTCTGTCCGAATGTATGAAATCATTTCCGCCATGTAAGCACATACTTATTTATTGCAAATAAACTATAATAAAGCCGATTCACATTAATCTTAAGTATAAAAAGATAGTATACCCATGGCGTCTGATAAAGATAAAGTCCATTCCCGCCAATGTATTTTAAACGAATTTAAATATGGATGCTTCTGTGGCAGGCATGTAGAAATTTATTGAAAGTGTTTGCTGAATGTACAGTTTCTGATAGGACATACACAAGATGGTACGAAAAACTTGAAATAGGTGATTTCGACCAATCTGATAATATGTATTCTAAAACAATGTTGGAGCAAGAGTCTTTTGTTAGAACATTGGAAATCGCAGAAAGGCTTAATTCAGCTCAACAAACCATTTTTGACCCTATTCGCGAGAACGGATTTATGTGAAAGTATTCAAGTATTTTGTTGTGTCCCAAAAACGGACAGAACTTTCCGGTAGACCTAATATAAACTGTAGGCTCCTGTAGGTCGAAATTCGCTCAGCCGTTACAAAGCTTCATTATATATATATTATATATAGTTAACTTGCTAAAGAATCTTTCAACCACAATATGAACATTTTTCAACTTTCCAATAATTAAAGACAGTGCCCTTGAATATCTATCTTTTCAATGTAAATTTCTTTACAGTATATCTTTTTCTAGTGAAAAATGTTATACAGATAATAACTACTTAACTTTTTGCTACAATTTTAAGTGTTTTACAAAAGAGAAAGGGAACACAAAAAACCAATAGCTCTTATTTGTAAACTAAGTTTTTCGCACACCGCTGTGCGTCGAGGCGTATAAGCAACGCATAAAGTCTTCCGTAGACTACCATCGTGCCTGCAATAAGAATGCAATACAAAAGCCACATCTGCTTTCATTCCGCTTCAAGAGTTTAAAGGCGAAAACTGTTGCAATTAAAATTGTACTCGAAAAGCACTCATGTTTGCAAATATACTTTCGAGTGTGGGCTACTCTTCACTTTTTTATCGCACGCCATATTAAATATTTGCATATTTATGTATGAAGCAGATATTAATGAATGCTTGTATTATACATTGAACATTCATACCTACATATATACGACATATATGCGCATGTATATAAATAAAAATTCATAAAAAGTAATGATAGTGGCACTTACCCTGTTTTTGCAAATTCAATAACCGCATTCAGCATCCGCTTGCCGAGCTCTCGTTCGACCTGCCGATACTGCAACGATGTATTCAATGGCTGTCCGAAGAAATACTCGATTTCATCACCATGCAGCACGCCCATCCATTCACCCCACAGTGATGTGCTCGTACGCTAAAATGAAACAAACGAAAGTGAGGAATAAGTGGGCTGGGCATATAAATATAAATATGTTTGTATATGTTTTGAAATTTAGTTAGAAATGAAAGTGTGTTGTAAGTATATTCCCTCATTTGTGGCATTAAATAAAAATTCGCCGAAACCCACGTTTAATATTGATTTTCTTCAAATGAGAGATTGATTCCCCTTCGCTTCTTAAAACAGCGTCTTAATACTTTCGACAAAGAGATAAGTTAAAAATAGAATATTTTTGAGTTCTTCAATTATACCTTTTTTGTGCAAGAAATAGTACATATATATTAAGATCGAAATATTTCAGTACGAGAAGGTAGACAATACCAATAGCGAAGTCAGAATTGGAAAGATACTCTCCGAGCTGTTCGGTACAATCTTTTACTAGAGTGTACAACTTTTGGCATAAGCCGATGGTTTTGACATTATCGGCCTCAACAATCGCGACGTTTGTTCTGCCTTCTCCAGGCTTGATAAAGAAGCGAAGTGAATGGGTCGGATAGTGAGCGAGGACAAAACGAAATATCTCCTGTCATGAAACAAACTGTCGTCGCGTTCGCGACTTGACTGCCACGTCAATGCTGGGAAACTTTGAAGTCGTAGAAAATGTCGTCTATCTAGGAACCAGCATTAACACCAATAATGATATCAGAATGGAAATCCAACGCAGGATCACTCTTATCAACAGGTGCTACTTTGGATTGATTAGGAAATAGAAAAGTAAAGTCCTCTCCTGATGAATGACAACCAAACTCTGCAAGTTGTTCATATACCCGTCCTATTACATGACGCAGAGGCTTGGACGATGTCTTTGAGAAGAAAGTTTTACGAACGTTTATGATTTTTTGGGCATAGGTTACGGCGAATACCACAGACGATGGAACGATCACTCCGTTGGAGGGATCAGGTGTAGAGTGTCCGCCTGGTGCAAAACAGCGAAAAGAAAAAATGAATTGCGCTATATAATTAATTCGGCTATAATCACGTAAATGGTGTCAATGCCATTACGAATTATATATTTTCCTTTTTTTCTCGCCATCTAAATCATTCGCCATAAACAGAAACAGTTTTAAATCACTTAATGCAAGGTCCGGACTAATAGGTTGATTCATATCAACCTCTCAATCAAGCTTTCGGATCTTCTGGAGAGTCTCTATCGATGTGTGTGGTCTAGCGTTGTCCTGATGAAATACAATTCTCTTCGCTTTGGAGAAGGCTGGGTGACAATGGGCGATTGCTTTCGTCAGTCGGCTCCATTACTTATAGATAAGTCCGATTTAAGAGTTTTGCAGTAGGGGAGCAGCTCATAGTGGATGATGCCTTGCTATCCCACCGAACAACAACAAAACCATCCTGATCGTAAATCATAACGTGAAAACCGTTTGTGTCTTCTCACTGTCGTTCGACTGGACCGTTTTCATTTGACGTTGGTGTAAGTGTTAAACTAATAATAACCAGCCACCATCCGCAAAAGAAATGGATCCATTTTTTTACCATTCAGGGATTCAGCAACGATTATGATTTGGGAGCTCGGTCCATGAGGCTTTTTCTCGTTGACTCATGTGGCATCCGTTTATCGATCTTTTCAACTGGTTCCAAACGGATCTTCGTCATAACGGTAATTGAATAACTGTCAGACTCAACAACTTCTATTATCTTATTGGCACTTTTGACAATTCGGGTTCCACATAGTGAAGCATTTTTAAATAAAAATTTTCGAAACATCGACAAAACCGGACGAAAAAAAATTTAAATGTTAGAATCAGAACTGGGGACAATCTCCCAACCGTTCGGTACAAAACGAGATTTTAAACAGGCTGACTATATCGTGTGACTACTTCAATGTAATATTAGAGACACCCTTGAGACAGATTTAGAGGAGCCGCTGCTCTGTATGTTGGTCACTGGTACGCTCACGACCACGCGGCGGTGTTCAGGCAAGCGGCCAAACCTCACGCGTAGGTGCTGGCGCAAGGAATTATTGACTTACGGCGAGAAAACCAGTCATCATGAAAGCAAATCCTTATTTGAAATACCCAGCTCTTTATGAAGTCTTCTGAAGCCATATTAAAGCCCATATTTTATGGGTATGTACCAGACTTGCCCGGTCCCGGGAAAGCTACCTCTACTCACCGGAGTTACATCTTAATAAGAGTAAAGGCTGACATCACCGACGTCTAATTATTGTAGTAGACAAACGAAGCTTAGAAATGGCCGTATTTGAGCAGAATGATGTTCATTAAGCAACTTTTAATCCTCAGGATTGAGAAACTTGCAACCAAATAGATCATGTTGTGATATATGGACCACATATATCCAGTGACCTGAACGAATGCACGCTTCTAGATCCTTTTTTTTATACAAAAGCAAAAGCTACTATATATACATATATATTATTTTAACCGTTAAATGTAGGCAAATAGCGTTTATTACTACCGCCGTACATTTAAAGATCTACACAGTTTTGACACCCTGAAACATTTTCATTTTGAACTATTAAACGTAGACCAATTCACTCAACCGCAGCTGTCGATTTACCTGAGATGCCATCAGGAATGAAAGGGGTCATACCCCTCCATGTTTCTGGTCAGTTGACTATTAGCCACAGAATGCATATCCGCCCAACTAGCTCATACGCACATTTCGTACATGTTTGTATTTACCATATATACACGTAGCTGAGCGTACGCATTGCCATCTTCGTGAATCCACAGCGAGTATATATGTCTGTATGCTCGATGTAACAGCATTTAGAAAATTATTCACTCGATAGACTACAGACACTGGCAATATGAAGAGGTTAACACTATTGCTGGTGTCTACGCTCCATCCAGCTTTTCATGTGTATCATACAACAATGTCTGCTTATCTCTCCTTCTACACAATTAAACATGTTTTGCCAACGAAGAGCTGAGACCACTGAATCAAAATATGTGTATGGTTGAAGCGTTTGCATGCGAGAATTTATGTATTTTGTGACATTTAATTTATCTCCTTCATGCATGCCTACTCCCAATTGACCTTAGGTACCGATCTTTGCCCTGCACTATGGGCAAAAAGACCGAAATTTTCGCACAAAGTCCAATTTTTTATACTTTGAAAACTTGAAATTGAATGTTCTTTCCAGTTCGAAAAGTAGAATTAAAGCAAGCGGTTAGAGATTGGCGCCCAAACAAAGTCGGCTTATCAAATGCAGGCTTGACGTATCGGAATACAACTGTGCATATTACAAAACTTTGATCGTTTGTTGTAGCTTTTTTTTAAGATGAACATTCTTTAGAAATATGGCAAATATTCGTAAAGATATGTAGAATCAACGTGGTATGTTAGTTTCTAAATGTTCCGTATGTTTTATAGTGTATCTCAATTGTTGTTAAAGTATTTTTGCAGCTAAAATTTATCAAATGTAATGCTGTTCCGTGGAGTGTAACTTTTAGGCCACGCGCTCTTGCGAGCTACTAAAACTGGTATGTTTTCCGTCAAAGTGCATATAATAAGGTTTTATTAGTATCCTTTGCCCGAGGAAGGGGAAGCTTTTTGAAAAAAAAATGATGTGTTGCACAATGGACGCGACGACATTGCGATAACAATGAATATGAAGTCAGCAACTCAGTGCTGCCTAATATATGTAGTTACACCAAAAACTCTCCTCCGATATTGACTCCGAATGCCAAGACCTGCGACTCTGAAATATAGTGAAAGTCCACTGCATGTCTGGATTTGATTTATTTTTTTGGTTTCTGTTAAACATATCTCATAGACTTCAAGTTCGAAAATGGCATATTACCTAGGCTAAAGAGATGACGACTCTGAAAAAGACAATTCAGGAAATGAAGTAGTCTAAAAAAGGGGTTGGGGGAATAGTAGTAATGGAAACACAGCCAGAAAAGGCTTCGCGAGTTACCAGTCATTTTCATCATATACAAGATTTGCTCAAAATATTCTATACAATTTGTATGTGGCTTTGTACACTATTTTACGCGAGCATTCAATTGATGTTGATAAATTCTTTTTGTTAGGACTCATTTTTATTTCATGTTAATACTTACCCCTGGTAACCTATGTCACCGACGGTACCTAAAATATTAGTGCATGGCTGGCAAATAATAAACTCGTCCTTCGTTCTGGTTGGATGTTTAGAAGAAAATGCTTCAGAAGCAAGGAGTAAGTGTTATAAAAACGATAGGAAATCACATGCCCATAAAATATGCTAAGATCCTTTTGATCCAATAATTTCAAGTATTGGTTTAAGAGGTAAACCCACTCTGGGATTTTGGAAAACACAACTTTTGTTCACAGGATGACTTTAGGTCTTATATATATTTGTGTAAAGTGAAAAAATATAACAAATAGCTGAATTTCTTCTTTTGCTGCAGCCCCTAAAAGCGTGCGCTGAGTAAAATGAAAACTTTAAACGTTGGAGGACCCCATTGTATCGATTTATCTGAAATATTGATAGTTTTTATATATTTACATATTTATGATATATATATATTTTTTTTTTTGAAAGTATGTAGCAGTATTCCGGTTAAATGTAAACTTTGTTTTTTAATCAAAAATCAATATTCAAAAAAATGTACCGTTTTCACTAAAAACTAGTTAAGAGTTAAATCTGTACCTACTCCCAAAGACGATACTTTGTAGCTGACAAAAATTTTTGCTTTTCTTTTCTAGGTATCATTCTTTAAAAGAAATCGATCCTCCCATGAATGCCTCTCACAAAAGCATGGATTTATTAATAGACTTTATCACCGCCACTTTGTAACGAAATAATAATTAAAGAATATTATTTTATACTTCAATAAATGTCCACTGAAATGGATGGAACTTCTCTTCTACCATGTTCTACAATAAATTCCTAAAAATGTGTCTGTTTTTCAACCTCTAGAGTGGCTTTCCCTCTTTAGTGAAAGGCAGACAAAATTAAAGAATAACCCCATCCCAAAAACGTCCACCTCTACCAAACTATTAAACAATCACAT